TGTTTTTCCTTTTTCCCTAACCCTGTTTACAAAATTCATGCTTCACAATACATCTATGTTGACAGACAACAGAAAGACCCAGCATTTTTCGGCATATCCCACAAAAGCACAAAACATCAGTTATATCACTTCCCCCCAACCACACGGGACCGAATCCTACTTCTTCTCACGCTACTAATTTTAGCAATCAACCCATTTGCCGAAGTCCCTATTGCATCGGCCCCCATCAGCTTGATCCCAAGCTTACGCGACAAAAAACACAACTTGCTCGATTTTTCCCCACCAACTTTCTCCAACTCCCAGGCCTGTTCTCGGGTCACCACTGCATAAAGCATTAACTGCTGACTCAACTGCCTGTCCCCACAACTCTCATTGGGCTGGGCCTCGAGAGCCACCCTCATCAGGCCTAACGACTTTGGGTCCTCATCGGATAAAGGGTCGAAGAACACAAAGCAGAAATCATCATCAAATGCTAAATGGGGCCTCTCAAATAGTTTTGACAGTACATCACCATTCAAGCCGAGATTTTTCGACACGGGCTTCTTCGGGTTTTGATCGATTTTCCTCTGTCTCGTGGTTCGGAGGATTCGGGCGGCTTCCCTGAGCCCGCTAAGGTAAGCACCGTGCATGGTGGCTGGATACTGTCGGGTCGTGGCCTCCCCTCCGAAAAACAGACGGCCCCCGATACTTTCAGCAAGAATATCGTAATCGTCCCCTGAAGATTGTACCTTTATGTGCGAATACGAGCCGTATGAAAGGGGATCCGAGCCCCATCTTGTGCAAATCGATTGTATTGGATTCGGCACGTCTACTCCTTTGGGACCATAAATGCCTGTGAACAACATAAAAGCAAATTCTGAGAATCTGAGTAATGATTTTCGGACAAGAAAGCAGGCAAATTAACATGAAAAGAAAAGGAAACCAGGTTAATAATGATTAATGACAGTGTCTTAATGATGTTTTTCAATCATAAACCCGCGCCCCATAATTAATTACCCAACACGTTCGCGCACCTCTAAGAATACTCAAAACACGATGGACTGAAGAAGTGGGGTCCGCATTCTCAAACAGCTGTGCAGCTTCGCCCGCCACCAAAGCCACGAGCACCGGAGCACCCGAAACCGTATGATAGCTGTAGAACAAGAAGAATTCGCCCCTCCGTTGACTGGTCTCGCTCAACGAGCCGAACGTGTCCAAATCTTCACCCCAGAAATTGTGAGGAAAGACCATGGCAACTTTATTCAGCAGCCCAAACCCGAGCCTCTCTATTGCCGCCACCTTCTGTTCCGGCAACTCGGGCTCGAATTTAATCGTTTTCTTCTTCAGAACACCGAGCGGAACTGTGCAGAGAACCATATCTGCCTGAAACACTTGATCTCCGGCAAGGACCTCCACACCTTCCTCACCATACCTAATCGTGTGCACGATCTTCTCATACAAAATCGGGATTCCTTTGCACAGGGCTCGAATCAGCCACCAGTTCCCACCCGCCAGAAAACAGTGGTCCCCGCCCATCTCGTAAGGGTCGTCCTGATCCCAGTAAGCGGCCGAGAGGTTCGAGAGGCTGCCCGCGTTTGAAAACTCCAAATTCGCAAAATGCCAGTCGAGAAGCTGCCTTTCCTCTTCACTCCGAGCCACGGCGTACAACTGCCTGAGAGTTTCAAGAACCGAACCGAGTGAAATGTTGGCGATAAATCCGCCCATTATTCCTCTGAGCTGCGAGACCTTATCGAGCAGCTTGTTGAAGATTAACTCAACGTTCGAATCGATTTCTTTGTCGACGGGCCCCCCATCGGGCTTGTACAGGGGGCAGTTATCCCTCACCTTGTGAAGAGGGATCGAGAGCTGCCGAGCCAAAACACCTAAAGGGTTGGCGTGAATGCCCGTTATCACACTTCCTCCGAGGTCTACTGTGGCGTATGTGCCCTTCTGACCTATTTTTTGGGTGTAAACCCGCCCACCCGGTCGGTTTCTTCCTTCCAGAACAAACACTTTATAACCAAAAGACCTGAGCTGCCGAGCTGCAGCTAATCCGGCTAACCCAGCGCCGATTACTATCACGGAAGTTTCTTGGTTTTCCTCGAATATTTGCGACTCGAAGCATGCGGAGACCCCAAAATTAATGTACCCGTTGTTTAAAAGGAAATCGTAAGCTGCATTTATTATGTGCGCATAGTCGTTGCTAACGGTTTCCCTTATCTGCCCTTTGGAGAGCCACGTGCGCACGTTATCCCTCCACTTGGCAAGTATATGGTTCCTCACGACAATGTAGTCATTCTGCTCTTTCCCGCCAAGTTCTCTCACGACCCCAGCTTTGATTTCCTCGTCAAGCAGCTCGTCTATAGGGAACCCTAAGGACAAAGCAATCATGGCTTCGGTTTTGGTTTCTTTCTCCAGATCCTCACGTGTCCTGTTTTTCTTTCTCGAAGAGGACCCGATTTGTTTATCTATTAAGTCATCCATCAGATTCTCATTGTAATTCCTCAACCCTCTTTTACTTCTAGAGGACCTACGAACGGCCGGGTTGCTAGAAATAGGGGTATCCCCAGTCTCCCCCATGGCTTTTTCACTTACAGATAACCTTCAACTCAGCTTCAAAGATCACAAGTTTTACAGGACAACCTCATTGAACATTTTTAAACACACACACACAGAGAAACCATGTTGTACTGCAGAAAATCGAAAATGAAAACTAAAAAACAACTCTGATGGAAGCTTATTCACTGGTCAACTAAATGACGAATCCAAATCAATGCCTGCAGAAATTCATCCACCAAAATCCATCGCCAAAACTTCAAAAAGAACAAGAATCAGAAAAAAATTATAAAACCCTCCATTGGAAGATTCTCAAGAATCACATTTCCACTGCAGAGAACTTACAGCTCGGCACAATGAGAGACGGCCATAGCTAAATGCATGAAATTCAAAACGACTCATGAATACTCAACTCTCTGCGATAAACTCAAGGCCGCAAATGGTTTGTCAGAAGCGAAATCTGCGGCGCAGGTGTTGGGAACATGGGCAGAAAAACACGCCATTTATAGAGATTCTAATGGCTGGGGACAGAATTTCGGTTGCGGAATTAGGGTTTTCTTTTTAGGAAAAAAAAAATAAAATTGCACATTGCAGGCGAGTCGACTCAGTGAGCAGGAAGTTGTACGAAATGATTGGAGGGAAGTTGCACGGTTGGTTTAGGTCTTTAAATAGGCCCAATAAGAAATGGCGCCTAATTAGGAAAAGGCGGCCTCATAAGGAAAATGGCGGCGGGCTTATAATTGGGCTTGGGAATTGTGGTCGATCCTTTTTGGGTCAATTTTAAAGCCCCCTCAGCCTGTGATTTGTCAGAAAGCTATTGAGTTAGCTAGCCATGTCGAAGTGTCCAAATAACTTTTGCTCAAGAAAACCAAAAAATAAATTATAAATTGTGCCAATATTTATTTGCTTGATTTCATTTTTGTTACCTGTAAAATGAATCATTATTTGGGATGTCACTTAAATTCATACACTGATTTGTCAAATTCATTATAAAAGATCAACTTAAGAAATTAAATTATCGAAACTGGTCATCACGATTTAGTACACATAAACTTGTTTATTGATTTTTATTTTAATTTTCATAATAACTTCTTATTATTTTTTATTTTTTATTTTTGATAATTTTGACAAAGATATTAATTTTAAGTTCACTCAAAAGGTAAATGGCAGTTGAGATAAAATGAAATTTATTAAATTTTTACATTCAGTAATCAGTATGATATATGAATTCTTTAGTCAATGACTAGCAAAAATGAAAATGAGAAGAAGAAAATAAAGGTGGTCCGGCATTGTGCATGTGAAACCTAAATCACCTACCTTAAAATTGGGCATTCTAATCGGACAATCAATAATGATATATGTTGGCTTGGTGGCTTTACTATGAAGATTGGGATTTGTTCAATAATGGGTGCGGAGCTATGGGGCCTTTTTCAAGGCCTTCGCTTGGCCTGGGATTTGGGGTTTCGGAAGGTGGTGGCGGAAGTTGATAGTGCGAGTGTTGTAGAGTTCTCTGCCACCCTAGAAGAGGTGCCTGGAGTGCACGCTAGCCTCATTATGGGAATTAAAGATCTTCTAGGCCGTCCTTGGCAGGTTAAGGTGCAACATGCATTCCGTGAGGCGAATTTTGCAGCCGATTATTTGGCGTCTCTAGCGATGGAAGGACCATTGGGGTATCACTTCTCCCGCGATCCACCTAATGGGGTCCGGATGTGGCTGGCTCATGACATTAGTGGAGTTTCGTATCTGAGGCCCGTTTGTAGTACGGCCATACCGTAATCGTGTTAGCGTCTTTCTTTGTACCAAAAAAAAAAAAAAAAATAATGATATCTATTTTGAAGAGTATATATATATATTCAAATGTACGTGTACATATACTGATATACATATAAATCCTAGAAAAATCCTCCATAAAAAATTGTAAATCAGCTGAACCCAGGGGCGAAGCCAGCCTCAAATTTCACCGGGGTCGGCAATATTTTTTAGCGGGGTCATTAACCTAGTAAACAGTGTTTGAACAGTATTTTATACTAAGAATTTTGAAATCTATAGGGGTCAGCTGACCCCTACATTAGCATGTAGCTTCGCCCCTGACTGAACCGAGCTCAAATTCTTTTAATGATCGAGTTTGGACTTAAGAGTGGAGCCGAGCTTGCTAATTATTGTCTCGAGCTCGATCCATATATCAAAATTAATAAGTTGAGCTAAGACAATAATTTTAAAACTTATGTAAAAAATCTCTATTTCTCGAACTCTATTGAGCAGAACCCGAGATCGACTGAACTATTAAATAATTTTGAGATCATTGGCTCATTCATATCAAACAGAGTTAAGTTAAACTTGAATATTTACAAGTAGAATCGAGCCCACGAATGACTTGAGATAAGTTCTAAGTACAACCCAAATGAAAGAAAAAAATATATATATATATATATCAGCGGTAAGATTTAAGAATAGTCCCACAACAGCAACAAGTGACGGCTTTCCACGACTTCCAATAAAATGGTATGTAACAAAACCTCGTCAGCGTCTGCATGTCGGCCACCGTGGCCCCGTGCCGGCACCGGGAGCATATTCCGGCCACTGGCTTCCGGCGAAGCACCACGTTTTTCTGATCCACCAGAAAACAGAAGCAAACCATCAAACTTGAAATATAAATATATAAATAATATATATTTATTAAATATAAACTTATATTTAATCAGAAAACAAAAGGAAGATTTTCTGAGGCAGAACTTTGTGGCCTTTCTGGTCTAAACCAACTTCACCTAAGGGAGCTAAAAAGAGCCATACTCGTTGCCTACTTTATAGTTTTAACTGAATAACAATTTAATTCAATACTTCTAGTAAGCTCTTCAGCTATATACTATATATATAGGCAAAAATCTAATTTTGGTCCGCTAATTTGTCCATTGTTCACTTTTGGTACACTAATTTGTCCCTCATCAAAAAAGGTCAATTATGTTACACATTTCATCAGTTTTAGTACGCTAATCTCGTGGCCCGGGATTACGAGATGCCAAATTAGTTTTTTATCCTACCACGTCAACATCTTATCCCTCCACGTAGTTCCAATCCCGGTCCACATCATCTCGTAATCCCGCCAACTGGAGTAGTGTACTAAAACTGATGAAAAATGTAACATAATGGACTATTTTTTATGAGTGACAAGTTAACGGACCAAAAGTGGACAATGGACAAATTAACGGACCAAAATTGAATTTTTGCCTATATATATATATATAAAGAGTATCTGACAAAATTAAATACGTTATGCCCCTCGTTGTATTAGCCCAAATTAAATGAATACATGTATAGCTATTAAATGAAACTATTCGCTCATAACGTGGGCTCAGTAAGGCTCGAAATGAGGATTTTAATGTAATTTTTTTTTACAGTTCGGAATCGCTAAGATTCGACCTTGGTTGTTTAAAATTGATGCACAAGCGAAACTCGAACTCGTTTATTGACTCTCTGAAGGCTTGAATTCAAGTTCAATTAGTATAAGGAACTAGATCTTGGATCGATTAGTTTACACCTCTATATTCATAGTTCCACATATATATCTTATTTCACATATGACTGATCAGTTTTAGTTGTTATAAGCATATTTTGATTAATGGATTGAAAAATATGTATCACTACGTGCACAAAGAGAAAACTATTCAATACAAAAAATTTAAATTGTTATTATTATTGTTATTATTATTATTATCATTATTAAATAATTTGCACATATATATTTTTATGCATAAACAATTAATATCAGAGTACGAATCCGTGAGCTTCAAACACGGTTTGTTTGGTAATTGTTGTGTTTAATGAAGTTAGAAATGCCTATCAACATCTACATAATGTTCAATCCATGTGATAGACATTTCTTTTGGTCCTCCTATTGTATGAAAAGTTCAAATCAAACAGAATTAAAAGCATATATATCTTAGTTATTAAGATATTGTTATATGATATATATATATATATATATATAATGTAACAAACACGGGCAAACCGGTGCGGTGCCACGCACGTGAAACGCACCATAACAGGGTGAGCCTAAATGAAGCCCAAGTGAGGTTCCATTAAGCGCATTATAACAGGGTGAGCCAAGATGAAGCCCCAAAGTGAAGTTGCATCCTAAATCCAATTAATGATAAAAGGACTAGCTCACTAGACATATAAGGTGGCTTATTTTTCTTTGTATAAATGATGTGGGACAACTCACAAGTGGTATTATATTCTAATATATCGCACGATCACCGTAAAAGAAGCGCACTTGATTTTAGGATGGAAATAAATTTATAACATGAGTATGACAACTGATGTATAATACATCTATGCATGTGCATATGATAGAATACTAGTGTATTTACAGTTAGATTCAAAAACATTTAATTTAAATGTATATCTTTTAATATTCAAATGTTAAATTCTAAATAAACATTGTGAGATTTTATAACATTTTTTAAAAATATATATATTAGTAAAAAAAATCCCAAATTAACAATTTTAAGTTTGTTGGGACACATAGGAAGAAAATTATCAATGTGACAGAGGCATGGATCATCCACCTAACAGCACATGTTCCCTTAATCGTGAGGAAGAAGGAAAATATGTACACATTAACATTTAATTTTTATTTTATTTTATTTTGAGTGTTGGAAAAGGAGAAAAAAAA